ATGCAATGTGGCAATGTCTCCCTGTACCAATGGTCATCTCTCAGCTGCTGAGCCCTCACCGTCCCCACCACAGGCCAGTGGAGCAACAGCCCACATTTTGGGGGAAGAACGGGGCAGGCCGCATTGCTGCTGGGCTGAAGAGAGAACAGCTGCTGTCTGTGGACCACCCAGCCCCAAGAGCCCAGCAGGAGTGTGATGTCTTTGATAAGCAATTCCCGCACTACCTGTGAGGAAGGCCAGCTTTTTGTTTCAATTTCCAGTCTTTTGCCAACTGATAAACATAATATAATAAAAATGAATTACTAGAAGAGTGAAGTAGAGCAAATAGACATGAAAATCACAAGCAATAACTTATTATTAGCTTTAACAGGCATACAGTTTTTCTGATACCTTGCTTTTAATGTTTATTTTTCCTGCTTGGCAGATTGGCCCCATCCACAAACCACACTACCCTAAATGACAAATACAAGTCAAGCCCAGAATTTTATAACATGAGTAGATGTATTTATAATTACAAAGTTTTCATGAACTTTTCAAAAACATAAAAGAAAATCAATGACCCTCAAATTCAATTTGCATTGCTTTGAATTTACTTTAAATCTTTTCTAGTGCACAAGCCCACCCACCTTTTACCTGGTTATAACTCTCCCTGGCATTTATATTTCGCTTTATTCACTGGCCCAGCAGCCTCGTCTTGCCAGCTTCTGTCCAGCCTCCACGTCATTCTTCCCTCCCCTCAGTTCTTTCAAGTCAGCCTCTGCCAGATGCCTAGAGTTGTCTTCTTCAGTCACAGCCTCATCTCGTTCCATCTGACCATCTCCACATCCACATAGATGTGATCTGCGCCCTCCTGTTGGACATGGTTCTGCTTACAGTTCCGTCATCATTTGTTATTCATATCCTGCCCTCTGATCCTCCATGCCACACCCTCCATGTGCTTTAGCCATGCTGATCTCCATACAGTTCTAGAAGGTTCTCAAAGCCATTTCATGCTTCCTTGCTCTTGACGCTGATAAAGGCACTCAGCACCCAGTAAACAGTAGGGTAGCTCTTTGTTATTGTGGAGCACAAGCTCCCCCATTTAGCTCCCTTTCCCCAGATATTCTTCTGTTACAGTGTCACCGTAAACATGTTTATTTATTTACTTTAATTTAAAATTTTTTAGAGAGATTTTTGCCATAGGGCGCATGCACTTGCTGGAGAGACAGAGAGACAGAGACAGAAGTGAGAAGTCCCCCACCTCCCCACCCCAGGCATGGCCACGCCACAGTCCCTTCTCCTCCATGTTCCTGTCAGGATTTTTGGCAAACACTCACACGCACCTGGTGTGAATTTTAAACCACTAGGTCTGGGACTCAAACCGCGGTCAGCTCTGTGGCAGTCCAGTGGCGTAACTGTTACACCATCTGACAGTCCCTGCAATTTATATTTTAAATATAAGAATTAATTTCCTTAAATGGAATTATGGAGTCAAAGGTGACGGGCCCTTTACAAATATTGTTGCATGGTGCCAAATGATTTTTCAGAAAGGTTGAGACACTCTTCAGTGTTGGCATTAATAAATTGTAGCTAAAAGTTCTGTGACCGTTTGCCCCCAGTTAAGTTTTACACTAGAGTATGCTCTTGTGTCTGATGGCTACCATGAGTAAATTGGGTTTCTGCTTTAGATATTTGTTCCTCCAAGGGGAGGCCTTTGTCTTCTAGTGCCTGTTCACCCTGAAAATGATGGCCATAAAATCAATACATGATGGCAGTCACGTTGACACCAAGTCCAACGTGGAGATATGTAGAATTTCAGATACAAACCTTGTTGATGGAAGATTCCTTTTCCTGCGTGTCAAAGGAAAATGGAAATGAAGAATACCCAAAATAGCCAACTTACTAAATAAAGGATACTTGGACATGCTAGTAGTGGAAGATTGACGTGGATGCAATGTTTATAGAATCTTTAATTACTTAGGGTAAGACTGTCCCACAATGTGTGCTTATTATAATAGTGCCTAGGAACTGTGAGCAACTTACATTTCTCTCTTTGACCCCCGTAACAGCTGAATGAGCTAGGTGCCATAGCGTTTTTCTCCCATTTTTTAGATGAGAAAACTGAAGCACATAGAGATTAAGTAATTTGCCCAAGACAGCAAGTGCAGGATGAAGCTGGGATTCAAAACTGGGTAACCCAGAGTCCTGACACCACCCTGTGACAAGGCACTGTTTAACTTTTGCGTTTGCCTGACTTGGTGTTGAGTGTCCTTTCAAAAGTGCCCTAGACATCTGAGGTATGGAAAGATACTTGAGAGATGCCTGTGGCCCTTAGCATATGCCTGCTCCACACATCTGTCACCTGGCTTACTTCACATGTTGCCCTCATGTCTAGTTGCCCTAGAAAATGCACCTTCCTGAGAATGCCTAGCACATGGTAGGGATCCAAGAAGGGATGACCGAATGAGGTAAGGCAATCTGGGGACATAATGGAATACAGAATAATCTGATTTTCCATGAGCATAAGAATGTACCAAGACTGCTGTCACTGCAGTTAACCAGTGTTCCATGGAGTCTTTATTGACTTTTAGCCAAAATGAGACCTTGAGAGATTGCTCCTGAGGGAAATGGAGCAAGATGATTGTTTTATGTGCCTTCATAATGGAATTATCAGATCATTTGGCCAGATTTTCTTGAAGTGCTTGTTCTGCATGACCTCACAGAAAATATGAGGCAGACCTGGGAGTGCCTCATGTCAGTTAACACAATCGTATTTAAGAAGAGGCAATTGAGGGTGGCACTAGTGCACTGTAGTGACAACATTGGAGGTGTTCTGGATAGTCCCTAACCTGTAAGGAATAGGATCTTGAGCCTCTTAAGGAACTAAATGCCTAAAATCCTACACACCTGTGGAAAATGCAGTCGCCAGGAGCCAACCGTTGTGTTCAGCTCTTCTGAACTGTATCTCCCAATGTGGGCTCGATACTGACATTTTTTTTAAATTCAGATTTCATTGAATTGACACTGTGTATGGATTTATGTTTACCTTCAGTTCTTGTCAGAAATGGATTACTGAGGTAACTAACTTTTGCATAAAATAATCTGGAAAGAGGCGCACACTTCCCAGAAAGTACGAGTTCTTATAGTTCTACTTTCGGGCATTCAAAACAGCCAAGTGAAACTGGCTACAACATTTTTAACTCTTAGAAGAAAATATAACTATTTCAAATGTATTTTTGTTTAGAGAACATTAGAATAATATTGAAAATAATACTGAAATAAAATAATATTGAAAATAAAATAAATAATATTGAAAATAAACTGGATATAAGCCAGCCAGGTAGCCTAGTGATTAAGGTAGTGAGATCCCACATGGCTGACAGTGGTTTGAATCCCAGAGTTGGCAGCTTAAAAAACACACTGAGTGTGTGTGCATACATGCCCCCAAATCCTGGTAGAATGGAGAAGTGGAGAAGTGATTTCGGCATCACTACACTCCATTGGTGGGTGCTTTTTTTCCTCTCCCTCTTCTCTTTCTGTCTCTCTCAGGCAAGTACATATGCCCTCTTGCAACTAAAAATAAAATAATTAGGATACACAGACAGATCAGTGTTTCACCCATCAAAAATGGTTCAACCATGGCTTACAACAAATACACTTTTGGGATCATTTTCTTTGTACTAAAAATGGAAGTTGTAAAGTAGTCACTGGCAAAGAAAAAAAAAAGGTTTCCTGGTATTTGAGAAAATTGCATAGATTGGGAACTTTTACCCTGTATTTACAGATTGTGATTTCGACACTGCATTAGCGTGTGAGTGGTGTAGTCAGAGTGGCTTTACTGGATATTGCTTTCTTTTTTCTCAATCTGACCACTAATTCTACATTGAGCTTCCCCCAGGCTCTCACTGTGCTTCCTAAATAGATGTATCATTCTTTTGATGTCTTTGTGAAATCATGTCAGTATTTCCAATTTTTAACACATTATTTTCTTTTTGTTGTCACTTCAACCAAATTTTCTTTTGGTATGTTCTAAATTATTATATTAAGTATGAAAATTATTAAAGAATTGCGAAATATTTTCCATTATAAAGCCCCATGTTCATCATTTAGAACTTTGTGACTGTCTTCCTTTGTAAAGATGTTTTCCAGAAAAAAAGATGTTTCTCAGAAATAAATCAACAGCCTTTGAAATGAATATCCATATGGATATTTATTATTTGATTCTGTTCCTTTTCCTCGAATTATAGTCTTATTTTCTATTGCTCCTTAGTTCTAAGTGCAAAAAATAGAGAAATGATCCAGAAAGACCCTGCTTTTGCATTCTTGTAGAAGGCTGGGCTGGTATCCTTATGTGGAACAGTTCACAGAAGAGCTTTAAAATTAGCTGTCTGAAGAAAACGTCTGATCCCTTTCATCGTGGCGTCTTCCTCACTGGCATGTTCCTGTGTTGCTGCACCTGTGTGCCGTCACATAACTGATCAGCAACACCTTCAGACCACACCAGGCTCATTAGAGCCATGACCTGTGCAACTTCTAGTACTAGCTTAAGCAGATTCTAGGTTGTATTGGAATGCTCAAGGGCTTCAAGAGCCTGACGTAGTGGGTTAACAGACAAAATAGTGGGTGAGTGCCGGGGTCCAGCCTCGTTGTGGGTGGGTTATCTCGACGAAGGCGGCGAAGGTGAACAGAAGACAGAGGCCTCGATGCCTTTCATGCATGTCCTATGCCGGACACCCCTCAGAGGTCGCCCTCTGAGGAGTGACGACTGCTAGGAATCATCGTGCGTTTTTATTGAAAACGTGTTACATGTAAGTAAAGGGAGAGGGGCTAGTGTTTTAATTAACAGCTCATACAGTTTTTAACAATAAAGAACAAAGATTCTATTCAGGGTTGGATTAAAGGTAGGTCTAGTGCAATTCCTATTCAGGGGTGGATTAAGGGTGGGTCTAGTGCAGTTCCTCAATTGTAGGTGGGTCTCCATGGAATGCAGTTTCGGGAAAGCGGTTCCGGTAAGCAGATGCGGCGCAGGAGCCATCTTGTGATTACTGAGAATGGTGCTGAGAAAAGAAAATCTCAAGAATAGATATTAGTTCTTATGGATCTTAATAAAGAATGATACTTATA